AGAACCAGGAGATTCTCTGGGGTGGATTCCCTAACATCTTCCTGCTGATAATATCGGAATTTGAATCCTAGAAGCTGGGCAGCAACCTTGTTTCCTCCTTTTTCATATCCTTCCGGTGATTCAAAAAAGGCAGAAATCCCTTCCTTATGTAGCTTGTCAAAGAAAGCACCATCAGCGATTGCCTTCAGCCTTTCCTTTTCAGCCTTCTGTTCCTCTCTTCCCTGTTGGGTGGCCTGCTCATCGTCGTTCAGAGTAGGGAGGTGCTTGGGCCACCACGCGCTTCCCCTCAACAGCTTGACGAAAAACCTAGCGTTAGAAACAACCGTACAAGCGGCAGTATCCAGTAACACGTCCAAGACCCTTCCAGGATCCAGTTCAAACGCGCCAACCAAGCCTTTTACCCGCTCCCCGGTCCTTGCAACAACTTCGTACGGTTGAGAGGAATAGGAGGCTGTGAAGAACTCTGTAATTAGTTTCGAAAACCCTTCTGTTTCCTCTCGGAGAAGGTTGTGTCTTCGTTGTTTGTAAACCAGACTGGTTGTTACTTTAATCGCCCGCCTTGAGAACATAGATGACACAAGACCAATAGCGATCAGGGTGCCCGACTCGAGTGTCGATGATATTAAATCCTGTGATATAGTGTGAGGTATAAGGGATTTGAGAAGAAGGACCAAGTTCGGAGGTGTTGTCTTCTCTCCGGAATCGCCCACTTCAAACTGATGTAGTGATGAAAGAAACAAACTTCGCAGATCGAGTCCGGCCGTTTTGTCTGTAAAATCTAAATTTGTTAAAAACCTTGTAGCATTGTCCACTGAAAGACGACCATCGATAGCAGACTTCACGAGCTCCTGGAAGATGATGCAGGCCGAAACGGCATCATTGTCCTTTGTAGCCTTCTCTAGCGACTCCTTGACACGCGAGAAGCCTGTAGGCTGCCACTCTCTGATGGCGGCATCCGTCAGGTACTCCCAATAATAATAATCGCGCGGTGTAGCGGGGGGAGTTGGTTGATTAACGAGGTTCATTAAGTCGTCGGGGGCATTAGGTTCATCCATAGTGCGTCGGGGTGTTCGTTGGATTTGAGGTTGTTGCGCCTGTTGCTGCGATGAGGAGCTCTGTTGGCGACCGCGTCTAGAGCGACCGTTTCCTCCTCCACCACCACCGCCATGACCACCCTGACCACCACCTCCTCCACCACCACCGCCACCACTGCCGCCGGAATTATTCCGGGGTGAGTACTGATCGCCCGAGCGGCCAGGATTATAGGGTGACATGCGGGATGTTTGATTATTATCGGAGTGTTTTCGCTTGCGGTTCCGGTCGCCTGAGTGACGATCGCCGGGCATGACGAAGGGAGAAAGCTAGGAAGTGGGTGGGAGATAGAGAGTGGAGGAAATTTTAATTTTTTTTTTTTGATTTAGGGAGGGGGGGGGGAGTAGAACTCCCGATGAATCGAGGTGAATTGTATGGCAATCAAAGTTGTAAAGGGAGCTGTAGATAGAGATGTAGTCGAATGGGTTTGGTTGTCTGTATATGTTTGTGGGGATACAAGAGGGGAGATGAGCACAGGAAATCTCTGGACGCGTTCTCGCTTGGTGGAGGCAGAAAAATCAACAAATGGCTGAGAATGTAGCTGATAAGCAGAAGGATCTCAGAAGGGGATGAAGGGCTTCGTTGAAGAAGCTGAAGTCCTTTGGACACCGTCTGCGGTATCTTCTTGCAGTTCTTCTTGTTGGGCGAGAGATGTTTTTTCCTGGGAAAGTTCAAAAACCAGCCGATGCAGGGAGGTAAGGCTTGGCGGCGGGCGAGATATGTATGATGTGTGGCTGACATAAGCCACACTTACCAACATGCACAATCACGTGCGGTGCTGTTTATCCGAACGACACACGACACACGCGCACTCTCGCAGGAACCAAGTTTGCTTTTTTACGTATGTAGAAGTGCCTACACAGCTCATGTTGTGCACGCAACCAACCAGATCCTCATTATCCTATGGTCAACAACCAACCCCCTTGAACGATTGCATCTTCACCCTCAGGTTTGTGTTTGAGGATCGAGACAAACTCTTATCAGTGAGTTGAGTAGGTACACGTGTTACCGGGATCTTCCGGAGAAAATATGACGCTTTTCGACTCTGATCTTGAGTGACTGTTGCCAAGATTTAGTCGCACTACATGTAATTACACTATGATATTATAGTAATTGTCCGTGAGGAGGTTCTACTTGTGCGCGCTAGCCCTCTTGGGTACTGATTTTCGACATGGTTGACTTGGGAGCGAAGCCAAACCTACAACCACGTATATGACCTCTGTGGCAACAATCTGAAATCCTCAATCTAAATAAGGATCAGAGGCATTATGGGTGTGCGCGTGGTTGAGCAGACTGACTATCTCTTGAGCAGTTAACATAAGCTATGCTAGAATATCGGGGCGTGTAGGCGAGTTTGGTGTATGTGGGTACATACGTTGATCGACCACTGGTATGGTATGGCCCCTAGGTACTAATAACTAATATTTATATGCGGCATCTAAATTTAGCTGATACTTAGGATGTGATCTGAAATATCGATCGATTACTTTGGCTTCGTTTGTCTTCGAATCGGAAGCATGCCAAATGCGAGTGATAATCCATGACTATAACAATACGTTTTGACAACGCACTTATTGGTTAAGGGCCAACGCCACGGCAATGATTCGAGCTTTAATATGAACCCACAGCTTATTGGTATGTTATTAAGTACGTGGATTATGTTTGGTACATATACTTAAATTATAAACTAACACTTTTAGCTTGGTATCTGACAAGCATACATGTACCGTTATTGTTTGTCCCTGTACTGTTCTTACCAACGATCAAGCATCACAATGCCAAAATTTTCAAGAGACCACGCCGGTGTTCTCTTGATTCAAACATTTCATATATATATATATGTGCTCACAAATATCCATTCGATTATTCTGCCCATGCTATACAACATGCCCCCCGACCAATTCCCCTTCGATTCTTAAGAATGCACCCCTGGCACGACACTCCCCTTACTTCAAGGGCTCCCCACCCTCAAACACTTCGCAATCCTCCCCAGCTCCTCTCTCCCTCGCACGCCCTTAAACACACTCTTTTTCACCTCAGTATGGTCCTCACCCTCATCGCGACCCTGCTCCTCCTCCTCTCAATCTCGCCATATTCCCAAGCTCTGGACGCGCCCTACACTGACCCCAAGTCCAAAACCTGCAGCGCACCACTCCTGCGTAAAGAATGGTACTCCCTACCCCTTCCTAACTCCACTAAGGAACACTACTAATACCAAATACCACAGGCGCGCCCTCAATGCTTCTGAACAGACCGCCTACATCTCAGCGATCCGCTGCCTTACCGCGCAGCCCTCGGCCCTCAGAAAACTTCTGCCGGGCTCGCAGTCGCGTTTTGATGACTTCCAGGGCGTGCACATTCTCCAGATGGAGAACGTGCACCTAAATGGGCGGTTTCTGCCTTGGCATCGGTACTTCACTGCGGTATGGGAGGGGGCATTGAGAGGATCGTGTGGGTATCAGGGATCGCAACCGCAAGTCTGCCTATTATCTCTAGGCAAAGTCTCCGTGCTAACGAATATGGTATGATAGGTATTGGGACTGGTCTCTTGATTCGAAAGAAGGTAGCACCTGGGCTGAATCACCCGTTTTCTCCACCACCGCGGGATTCGGTGGAAATGGTACTACCCCCTCATTAAAGCTCTCGCCAGTACTTTTTGTCTGTACAAACCTCTGAACTGACCTATCTAGGACCATATGTACCATGTTCCGAGCAACCCTACGAGTCACCATGTGTGATGAACGGTACTGGCGGTGGTTGCATCACCAACGGCCCATTCGCAAATCTAACACTTCACATGGGACCCGGGAAGAGGGTCGAACGCAATGACCACTGCATAACAAGGGATTTCCACCCCTATGTACAGGACTGGTTTAGCGAACAAGAAGTCAATAGTACGTTGAACGAGAGGAGCTTTGAGAGCTTATGGAGAAGGATCGAGGGCATGTTTGAGATCAGGCAGCTTGGACTGCATGGAGCAGGACATCTGGGGGTTGGTGGTGAGTTATTATCTGAAAAGCTTCGGAGTAATTGTGATTCGCTAATGCGTACGCGTGGGAAACAGGAACATTAGCAGATGTTTATTCTTCGCCCGGAGGTAATTGGAAAAGAATACCTGGCCTTTTTTTTATTATAGAAGATCTTTTACTAATCAAGGTATACGAACAGACCCTCTGTTTTACCTCCACCATGCAAATCTCGACCGCCTATGGTGGCAATGGCAGAAGAAAGACCCAGAAAGGCGTTACACGGATATCTCATCTCCTGATATGCAAGGCCGCGAGGCGGGGAGAGTGACGCTGAACTACGAGCTGAATATGGAGAAGCTGGCGAAAAAAGTTATTGTTAAAGACATTATGAAAATCAATGACGGGATACTTTGTTATAATTATGTGTGATTAAATACATTGAATATAGTGACGGTGGTGGTTCAATTAATTACATCGTCGAACTGTTTCTCCTGGTATAGATAGGGTGGTGGATGTAAAGTATAGAATCGAAAAGTGTCGCGAGACCTGGACCGAATTGGTATTCTGACATTTGGTGCAGTACTATCGAGTAACATTTATGTGATTATTCCTTAAGTAAGTATACCGTCGTAGCAACCTAAAAGCAAGACGCGGATCGAGTCGAACGCCTCCAGTACTGAGTGCTTGAGCCTACTTAATGAGGGCCGTTCCAAAGCGCGACAAGATGTTTGGCATATATAGACAGATATTAATGCAAATAATCAGCCTCAACTTATCTTCAGTGACTGCATGAAATGATTTGGCCTCTGACTTATGCCCCAAACCTAAATTTTCTCTCTGCGCCTAGTAGAATGATCCCTGTTAAAAAAAAAAGTAGGGCCCCACAGCTATCCTTGACACTAGCCAAATTCTCGTCTAAAGCAATTATTACAACCAGCGGCGATAATAGCTCAGTTGGGAGAGCGTCAGACTGAAGTCTTCATTATCCGGGGTGTCATCTGAAGGTCACCCGTTCAATCCGGGTTTGTCGCATTATTTTTCCCCCCCATTTGTTATAGAACGTATCATAGAAACCTGGGATGGTGGTAATGATGGCATGGCACAGGCGGCGCAACAGTGTGGAAATGATAATTTTACATAAATGTCTAAGCTATCATTCACCCAGCTCGCAAAGGGGGCTCACAATCTTCCCACCTTGTTCAATGCCCACTTCCGTTTTGCTTACCCTCAACGACATCTATAAAAAGACATCAACTATACCATCTTTCTTCACGTCGACGCACTTTTCCGCCCTGCTAGCCACAATGACGATCGGTGATTGGGACGGTGAAGCTTTGGCTGTCATTCTTAAAGCATTCACTCTCACGAATAATCTTACCACCCTCACCCCGGAATCCTCATCAAGCGGCGAGACAGAGCCTTCAATCTCCTCCCAAACATGTTCAGGCAACAGTGGACCTATCGTGGTCGCAACTGATAGTATCCCATCATCCACCGTCAATATCGCTGGCACTAATTCATCTACCATCGCCGCCACCGACGCTACTACATCCACCATTACCGCCGCTGGCGCTGCTTCATCCGCTGGTGCTGCTTCATCCGCTGTTGCTGCCACTACTACTATCTCCTCCACCGTTTTGGAGGCTCCTCTCCCCATTCTGGGTAAATCCCGTCGACGTGCTCGCCCTGATGCCGCCATGCTCGGGCATGGCTCACGCTGCGCTGTTCACAGCGGCCCATGCTACTGCTACCTCCTGGTAAAGGGGCAACAGTTCGGATACATGTGGAGGTGGACCTCGGATCTTGACGAATTGGGCGGGGCTGATCCTGGCAAACATGGCTTCTCTGAGGATGGAGAAGGTACTGGCCCTGGTGATATGCCTGGAGTTGATTGCGTCGAAGAATACCAAGGGGAAATGACAGAGATGATGTGGGAGGTTTTCGACAATTTTGTGCAGAGAAGGGCTGAGCGAATGAGGCTGCCAAAGAGATAATTGGACTCCAGAATTTCTCTAGCCGGATACAGAGTGGAAGTAAGCCAATTATAATACCCAATCGGCTCTAAGACGCCTTTCACGTTCCAGAATCCCCACCTTAATCCCTTTTATTTTTCCTGATGAAGTTGTCCTCTGCGTACATGCCAGTTCCCGACGAATTGATCGATGGAGTGATAGCTAACGAGTTACGACAGTCAATAGCATTTTCTTGTAGTCTAATAGAGGTCTAGCTGGTCTCTTGCGCATATTAAAGAGTTACTTACCACACTTTCTGTCGATCAAACGAGTGATATTTGGTGAATCTGATACACTATGTGAATCGCTATTTTCTGCTAAATCCACTTCAGCTACCTTGGGTGTGTGTTTTGTGGTGTGTTTTAACACGCGAATTCTTGGATCTTAAATCAAATTCCTGTTGATACTACAAAAAAAGAAGAAGAAAACTACAAGTAACCATGCCGCTATTACTCTGATCAACGAGAGCTTTAGAGTTGTCCTCGGGTGTCAGATATCGCTGGTTGGGTAAGATACGAGATAAAAGAGGAAACTCACCTTCTGGAAGTAATATCAAATAATTTATCTTACAGATACATGTATCTAGGCCTCAGAATAACTAGAGACTTACCAAAAGCAAGTTCCCATCAGCCTTTGGCAGGAGTAGAACTGATAAATATTATCCACGTTATCCTATCTATCCTATCTATCCTATCACAACCGATAGATCCAAACACCTACAACAATGAGAATAGAACCAACAACGTCCAACAATCAGAGGCCTTATCATTGCTTCTTCCTGAATCAAATTGTTACCGCAATAAGACATATTATTACTTTTTTCTGACTCATATCTGTCGAATATCAATATCTCTATATATACAAAAAGCAACTTCAATATCATCACTAACAAAAAACAAAAAAGTCCTAGACCCTGGCCAATCATATTCTTTAAGCCGATTATTGCGTAATTGATATATCTAAATACTTATTAGATTCCGTCATTTACAAGTACATATACATGTAGTCAACTGATACATGTATAATAGGTGCATAAACAATGTGGTGACGTTGTGCTCCAGGCAGGAACGGCTAGCTTAGCCAACCATCGCCAGAATCAGAACCACAACTTGAGTTAAGCCCGTTATGGTTTGTTTTCGTGAGATACTGAGTACGTCCTAGCGCTTGTAGAAAAACTCGGCGCACATCTGGCCCATTAAACAGTTCTTGTTTCCTGATTATCCCGCAATCCCCTCTAGTATTCTGTACGTGCACACTATCGGCTTTCCATCATCACAAACTATCATCATTATCACGCAGCCTACAGACTGGTATATGAGAGACAAACTGTCAAGATGCCTTTCCTACCCAAGTTCCCTGAAACCCCCACTATCCAACCTAAAGCTACAAGTGGTGGTGCGGATGCCTCCGCCGGGAAAGACCTGATCTCAAACCCACCCCTAATCATTGATGATAAAGCTTCAATTGCTCCGTTCGAAACGGCCAACCATGGGGATGTCATGGTTTCAAAACCCGCCGCGAGCAACGAGTCCCCTGCCACCTCCTACAAAAAAGCCCCCGCCAAGCTCAAATTAGAAATTCCTCTAAACAAACCTATCACCTTCATCATTTCCCCTACACAGTCTCTAGATACCTTCGTCAATTGCAAATTCAAATTGGAGATTCCTGGAAATGAGTTTGTCACCTCCGCCACCTCCCCTTTGCGCTCTCCGGAGACCAGTGCCCTCGTTTCAATTCGTTTGCCCGAGCTCGATGCCAGCATCCGCACTGTCAGGAAATGCATCAATTACATCTTTCTACATGCCGATATATACCTACAAGAGGCGCCCGCCACCTTCTTCACAGAACTTCAACTCGCAGTAGATGCCATGGGCGCCGAAGTACAGGAAATCATGGTCACAATAACAGACCCAGGGGTCTTGGAGACCGAGGACCAAACATTGGACGCGGAGCTTTTATTAAACGAAGTGGTCATGGGTTACAGCAGTATTTTGGAGGCACTGATGAAGTATACTGGGGGCATAGAGGAAGATACCATAATTAGCCAAATCTTGGACGTGAAACTAGTCACGCACGAGAAAAACAAGATCTTGATGGAGGAGTACCGAAGGTTTCTGGGAGATGACAGCTCGTCTGATAGCGAAGGTTATTCTGATTCTGATGGTGAGGGTAATTGTGGTGGTAAGAGTGAAACGGCTGAGGCAAATTGGAAAGATATGGGAGATGAGAACAATGAGCAGGGGGTCTGGAGAGTGATGATCAGAGATGAGTGAGCAAAATGGATTTATGGGAGTGAAAGACGTTAAAGTCTTGTTTTAGTAGGGCCTTTACTATCAAAGAATTAATAGTTTTATCCCCTTGTGCTTGCAAGGGGTTTAATCCACCGAAAGCTATCGCGATTAAACATCTTGAATTCTCAATCGGCAAATCATGGATAGGTTTATTGACATCTGGCATATTGTATCTAAGATAGCCGACCACAAGAAATGATATTATATAAATTACGTACTGATGGTTGTGAATTAAGTTTTTGCCACTAAAAGGTACATATCGCGTTGGCTATCTTATTAGGGATGGGTGCTCACGTATAAGTGATTACTTTTATTACAGGGCTTCCTTTCATTTTTGAATATAAGGATTATGTCCCCGCCATTTATTTAATGAGACGGAGAAGACACTTATAATTACATAATTTAGATGATCACGAACCCGTAAAATCCAGCTATCAACAAGGACACGAACGTAGTTGACGACAAGTTACATCTGAGAGATGTATTTCGTGCTAGCTTGGGTGCGTGCGTAAAATGCATCGAAGTATAATATAGAACGGAGCCGCGGGGAGGGGGGTTATTGATCCAGTTTAGTGAAACATATGATTAAAGTAAGGAACTAAAGCACAGTGTGATATTTCCGTATACGTGACGATAGTCTACATGTAATTAATAAATTAAACAAAAAAGGGAAAGAAGAAAAAAGTAACTAAGCACTGTGCTGTGAGAATTAACCGATTCCCAAAATACGCTCGTCAACACGATCTTCAAGAGAGAGACGCTTCTCTTATTTTACCGTATTGTTGTCCCCATTATTGAAATACCATGGCTATGGAAGATGATAAGATACCCTGAGTCAGAGGAAACACGCATCTCCATGTGTGAATGCGTACAAGGAGAAGGTCTCTCTCTGGTCTCAAGTGCTAACCCCGATCGCCTTCTTAAAACATGTTTTAAGATCTTTCAAATCGGCCGGTAGATCCTCGTCGAGAGCCTTTAGAATTATTACTATCGATTTGTCTAGTATTTGTCAGTTTCAGATTGTTCGTGCCCTATTTTCGCATATCGGAGATGCTTACCACTCATCCACTCAATGTATTCCACCCTTCCGGGAAACGTATCGAGCTTCTTCCCGGTGTTTCGATCATAGAAGGCGTATAGTACACCATTAATATGCGAGAGTGATTTGTTTTGCAGTTTGCTAGCACGGTTGTTCCTATCATTGTTATTAGCAGAGCACATATCGGCAACAAACAGACCATCATGGCACATACAAATCCGCAAATCTTCTCCGGCTCTCTATCCATCGTGTGTTCTCTCTTTTGTGAAGCTCCTCTAGTTGAGTTTCGATTGCCACATGTTCATCTGTGAGATTTAATAGGTCACTACTGATCATAGTAAGTTCGCACATGATATCTGAGAGCGTGCTTGTGAGGGCTGTAGCGTGCTGGATGAGAGTGATATTAGGTGACGATAGTTTTGAAGGCGTGCCTTTGGAAATGGGGTAGCGACAGATCTTGGAGTTGGATTTAGGGGTGGAGATGGGAGCAAAGTTAGTTGCCATGCCGGTACGGTGGATACGGTACTAGCTTGATCAACGAGGCAGGTACATATATGTACTTAAAAGGTTGGCTAACTGAGGCGTTGTTTTGACTTTCTATGTACAGCGGTACATGTACAGTCGGGGTACAGAAGTTTTGGTAATTTTTGGTTGCCGTTGCAACACGAAATTTGTATGGGGACACCATAC